GTTTCTTTGGTGCCTCCTTACTAAAGTCCCAATTTTCCTTCAATAGTCAAGCAACAAATATTGATACCTACTCTACGCCAGGCCCTTCGCTGGTGCTGGGAATTCTGAGCTGTCTGTCGTTGTCATTGTCTCATTCTTGGGGGCATCACAGGTAGAGTCAGACTGGTGGACTGTGCAGAGTGCTACAATATATGTGCAGGTGTGGGGCACAGGTCTGAGCAAGGTGTTTGCATTGCAAAGAGGAGGCACAGTCCTACCTGGGAGCAGGTGACGTTTGAGCTAGGCCTTAAACAAGAGTAGGGCTGTGACAGATTGGGAAGACGGAGAATTTTTTAAGGGAAAGGAACAGGGCTTCGAGACCCTCTGCTGCAAAGTTGCATTTCCACCCCAGAAACACTGAATCGCAATCTACATGTTAACAAGATCCCTGGTGATTCTTATGTATCTACAAGCATCCAGTTGCCTAAATTAATCTTAACTTGCCATCTCCTGTGTCAAGGATTCATCTTTCTAGAGATGGTGGTCATCCCCAAATCTCTCCCTCATGCACACCCCTCAAACTAAAAGGTCATTTTGATTGTCCACATTTTGTACAGTTAGCCCCTGAAGGTCCTCAGGTGTCACAGCTTATGCTTGACTGCTAACCCACCAGCAGTAACACAGAAGAAAGGCCTGGTGACCTGCTTCCACTAGGAGTGTAGCCCAGAAAGCCCTTTGGACCAGCTCTACTGCAGCATCAGGTCGGAGTCAACTTCATGGTAACTAACAAGCAGCAGCCCACACGTTTCTCCTCATTGAGACCCACTGGTCTCCAGCCCTATCAAGGACAGACCATAGCGGGTCAGCCAAAGCAAATGACCCAAGCAAGGATCTATTTGTTTTGGAATCAAACACCTCCCAAGCTTGTCTGTATGTGGACTCTGTTCTTGTGTGCCATCAATTCCAACTCACAGTGATCCTATAGGACAGAGTAGAACTGTGCCACAGGGTTTTCTTGGGTGAAATCTTTACAGGAGCTGATCTCCAGGTCTTTTCTCCCATGGAGCTGGTGGGTGGGTTTGAACCGCCAACCTGCCAGTTAGCAGCCAAGCACATAACCACTGTGCCACCAGGGCTCCTTAACAAGAGTCTACACCTCTGGCTACTCCATACAACCTAAGGCTTCCCCAGCAGGACGGCCACATATGAAAGAAGAACAGCATGCATGATCAACCAATTTAACAGTGTCCATGAGATCAGGAAAATCACTGCATTTTAAGACTGCTCTAATCCATTCTGCAGTAATTTGCTGAGCACTTTTATCTTAGAGAAACATCATAAATGACTGTTCCAGCTGTGAATCCCTCTCAGTCCCTGAGGCATTCCCTAAGTGCTTCATTGAAATTTAGGGAATGGATTCCAAAGTAAGAAAAGTTGAATTGGCTCCAGACTTATTAGGAAGTCAATCCAGGTCCATGCAAACCAAATGTGAGTGAGTTCATCTGGAAAGGAGGAAAAGGTTGCATTCTGGGAAGCTGGCAGCTCACTGGGCCTTGGTCATGGGTAAGGCCATCTTATATTGGTCACAAATCTAAATCACTTAAGTATGGTGGTGAAGAGACAGAGAATCAGGAATGTTTCCACAATCATCTCTCAGGCTGGGTGGATGAAATAATTCATGGAGTCAACTGCCCAAAGGAGCTCTGGTGGCACTGTGGTCAAAGAATTGGGCTGTTAACCAAAAGGTGGGTGGTTCAAATCCACCAGCAGCTCCACAGAGAACACAAGGCAGTCTGCTCCCATAAAGACTGACAGCTTTGGAAAACCCTACGGTCAGTTCTCCTGTCCTCTGGGGCACTGTGAGTCAGGACTGGTTCAATAGCAATGGGTTTGGGAGCTCTGGTGGTGTAGTGCCTAAGGCATTTGACCAGTAATCAGAAGGCTGGTGGTTTGAACTCCTCGGAAGGAAGGTTGGGCAATCTACTTCTGTAGTGATACTACTTTGGAAACCCAAGGAGGGGTTGCTAGGAGTCAGATCTGACTCTTCCCTAAAGATTTACAGCCTTGGAAACCCTGTGGGACAGTTCTACTTTGTCCTCTAGGGGCTAAGACTTGGAGTCAACGCAATGGCAGTGGGTGGGTTTTTTTTTACAAACATTTACTGCAAAAAAAGGAGCTCCTGGGTGGTGCAAATAATTAACACAGTTGACTGCCAATGGAAAGGTCAGTGGTTCGAGTCTACCAGAGGCTCCCTGGAAGAAAGGTGTGGTGATCCACTTCCAAAAACTGTGCCATCGCAAACCCTACGGAGCACCATTCTCCTCTGACACACATGGGGCCATGCGCTGGGGTGAACGCCATGGCACCTGGTGGTGGTAACAGTATTGCAGAAAAACTACCAAATGCAAGGAAGCGAAAAAATGGGAGAAGAATCCCCCTTATCGCCACAGCCCAAGGTCAACATTGTTAACACTTTGGTGAATACTTTTCCCCCCGCCACTTTTCTATCAATAGCCTAAACCCACAGCTGTGGAGTCGACTCCGACTCGGAGCAATCCCAGAGCATAGAGCTGCCTCACAGGGTTTCCAAGGCCGTCAGTCTTTACGGAAGCAGATGGCCTCATCTTTTCTCCCAAGGGTTCGAACAACTGACCTTTCATTTAGCACCTGAGCTCTTAGGCTCTTAGAACTTTCCTCCAATCTGCTTGTCGTAACGTTGAAGAGGAAACATTTTCCATTATTTACGTGGACCACATTTGCACAATTGTTTGCCTTCAAGCTTCCTATCTGGTGGAATTAAGGACTGCTGTGGGAAAGGAGGAAGCAGAGCGTTGTAACAGAGCAGAGAACTTAGAGACTGGAATGCAATCTAGTCAAGGCAAAGCAGACCCAGGGCAGAGTTAGCAGCCTGACCTACTTCTACCGTGTTTGTATTTTACACCCCAGCCCCCTAACCCTTTTTTTTAACCTCCTTGAAAAATGGATTTACAAGGCAGTCTGTTTGAATGTAGTAAAGCAGTCATCATCACTGCTCTGTGGATGTGGTCCCAATTCTGTTTTGATCCTTCTCCAGAAAAGCCAGTTACAACAGGCAATTAAGCATCTCCAGACTTCTAAGTTAAAAGAATCCAGTCTTCTTTTCTTCAAATAGCTGGGGGAGATTTAGAGTAGAATTCTGAGATTACATCCATATAGGAAAATCTTGCTGAAAACAGACCGTCACATTAGACTTGGGAAGAGACACAGCACTAGATGAAACTCCTGGAACGGCCCAGGGTTTCACAGAGCCCAGAGGACAAGGGCTGGTCAGCAGCTTCTCCTCCTCGGGTGACTCCATGATTCCCAAGATGCTCTAAGGGCACCAAGCCCTGTAGCAGTGCACTTCAGACCAGGTCAGCTCCTCTGTGGAAGGGGCTCTGTGAGGGCCTCTCAATCTTAAACCCCCTGAGATTCCATGTCCGCCCTCACTAGTGGTTCACCCTCCCCTCCACCACCCTCCTTGATAAGCATCAAAGAACGGTTCCTTTTTTGTGAAACTCTCTTGACTTTTTACACTCGCCATTTGTCCTTCCGTGATTGACTAATTTCACTCAGCATAACCACAGAAACATTTAGTAAGTTGTGTTTTGGGGTTTCCCCCAAACTAGCCTGACATAAAGTCTGTAATGAAGAGGAGTCTGAATGCCCTTTGTGAAGCTGTATGAAGTCTGCTAGGAACCACCAGAACAAGGAAGCGGACGCAAGACCTGTCAGGTGCTGAGACAGACACAGAGACAAGAATGTCGTGATTAAGTGTGTTTATTGTCACATTTAATTGCTTTGTCAGATGTACATTGTTGATTTCAGTATGGCATAAAAATACTTTCCTGTCAAAATCCAAACGGAGATGGCAATGGCACTTAAAAAAAAAAAATTCCCACTGGTGCTGAAGCCGCTAGCAGCTAGCTGGCAAAAACCGGAGCACAGCTGCAGACAGGGGTCTGCAACAGCTCAGAGCAGACAGCCGTGGGCTACGGCCAACAAGAACGGGGCCTATCAGGCAGACTTCTGACCAACGGCAGTTTCAGCGCTGTGTCTGCTGGTTCAGATGATCTGTCCTATTTATTACCGGAGCAAACGTCTCACCTATGAAGTGAAACCACTTCTTTGGAGCCTGGACTTAAAGCCCCTCTGAGAGCTTTCTTATCCTTAGAGGTTTTCACTCATCCAAAGGCAGGGCAGTTAGACTCCAAAGCATTAACTTCATGAGCTCACCACATCATAATGGTGGATCTTGTCATTCGCAGATGAGGAGCCTGCAGTGCCCACGATTTCACACATTCAAGGCAAAGCCAGAAACCGAAGCAGTAACTGAACGAAAACCAAATGCACCTCAGCAGTCGACGCATTCCACGATTCTCCCCCAAATGGCAGCTTAAAAAGAAGTACAGTAATTTAGATTTAAAATGACTCTTTATTCACCAGATCCCCACACAGTTTATGAAATGTCTTTTCCTCCACAAATAAAATGAACACTAGGATTTGTCAGAAGATCTAAAGGAGTGATGCCCCCGACATATCGACTCAGCACATCCACTGTGTCTGGAATCGGTTTGTCATCAACCTGCTGTGGCACCTGACTCCTTTCTGTTCCCCCTGTGGGGTGTCCTTCATTTCAGAGTCCAGAACAGAGACCACAACTGTGGCTAGTGCAACACAGTAGTCACTGTAATTCACTGAAAGAAAAATCATTAATTTATTGTATGACATACTTATTTGGATGATGACTTAACTGGTAATTAGTATTTCTGTATTTCTTAAAAGGCAACCATTTTAAGTGACAGCACATTTTCGGCTAATAGAAAAAGTTGAAACAAAGCCTCTCTTTCACTCTCACAAAGTCATGCAGACTAGAGAAGGTGGATCGGATGGTTCCGATCAGGCTTCTGGGGATCATCAAAGTTTCTTTTCTGGCAAAGATGAATTTGGCTCATCAGAGAAAGAAGGTTCTTGGAAGGCTGCTGCTTAACTCATTTCCCTTTGAAAAAGTAAATTTCAAGGCATGATAGTGCAAGAGGTAAGGTTTTGATTTATAGGACATTTATAGACTAATTGTGCTTAGTCTCTAATTTCCAATTTACTGTAAAGAACAGAAACTACATTGACAGGTCCCACTTTGCCAAATTTACCAGCACACCCACGTATCACACCAGAATCAGTACACGGTGATTATCTGAAGGATTCTGCTATGAAACCTGCACACTGCATCAGAAGTGAGGACCAGCGGATGCCAGTCTCCAGCAAGTTCTGGGCACAAGGACTCTCTCCTCTTGGGAGCCAGGGATTTGAGAAAGCGGTTCCCTCGGATGACGTCGTCAAAACACTCTCTCGGTCAGCAGTAAGGAAACCAGTGCTCGGTGGCGAGTCCTTGTGTTCAGTTAGATCTGGGAGGTCTGAGTGTTCCTGGAGCCCCCATCAGGGTGTGCTGTGGGTCTCGACTCCCCTGAACGCGAGGATTCCCTGGTGGAGGGCTCTGTGGGGTCAAGCAAATTCTCATAGTCGCTGTCATCAGACTCCTCCCCACTGTCTCCAGCTGCTCTTTGGGAAGGAGGAAGGTCTGCTCCGCTTGCAGGGCACTTCAGTCCAGAGCTGGCAGAAGCGTAACTGGAAGAGCCCACGGCTTGAGGTCGGGGCATAAAGATACCACTCTCCATGCGCGCGTGGCTCACAGTACTTTCCTGATTGTTGGGGTGAAAATCAGAGTAAGGGGGAGGAGGGTCGGAGGCCTCGGCATCACCAAGTGCACGTCTACCTTCGGCTGCAAACCCAGAATAGGGCATCTGAGGACCGAACCCTGGTTCCAGGCTTTCTGACGGCACCTGTCTAGTCAGCATTGCCTGCTGCATCCCTGGGTGAAAACAGGAAGAAGACCGTTAACACCTCGCTACTTCCAGAGCCTTTCATCTCAAGGCATTAAGCAGTCAATCTGAGTTTCCTGAATTTTAACTACACTCAACTTTTCACTTATCGACACACTCAGGTTCCAAAGATCAGGTCATTATGTGGAAATTGGTATTATGTGAAAATGGAGGATGACCACAGCATTACATACTGCCAACCCACTGACAGTCATGGACCAGCCACAGTGACAGAGAACCTCAACCATTACAGCCAGCGTGACTCTGGCGTCACTCAGTGTTCATAACTGCCAAATGTTCATAGTTAATATGCAAAATAACAGGACAGATTTTCATTACTGTTGTAATACAAAATGTCAGATAACGAGATAGTAAGTGAGGAACTGGGGTATTGCTTATTTGATGTTCACATAGTACTTTGCATTTTCTGAAGTATTTCATATATGCTAATTCATGTCAACCTCTTAACGACCTTCTGAAATACTACTGTTGTTGTAATTTCAGTGAGACCTGAGCACTGGACTTCAAGGGGACTGCCTTGTTTTTCCAGGTCTTGCGAGTTTCCTGCCTTGGACACGGGGCAGTCTCACCACTTTTCTATTGCTCTCTATTAGGGACAAACGTCTGCCCTTTCCTTCTCTCACAGGTTTCTGTCTTACACAGGTTTTATCGTAGTGTTCTTATTTCCATTATAGAGACATAGAATCCAGAATTCAGAAAGGTGAAATAACTTCATTTTCATCCTGTGCTGTTTTCACATAATTCTAACAGTGTCATGTGGGTAAAAGAATCAAGGACAATTTTTATTTTCTTTGTTCTTTTCTAAATTTGGTGGTGATGTTCTTGTGTGCTGTCGAGTCGGACCTGACTCATAGCAACCCCTCCTTGGGTTTCCAAGGCAGTATCACCATGGGAGTAGATTGCCCAACCTTCCTTCTGAAGAGTGGCTGGTGGGTTTGAACCACCAGCCTTCTGGTTAGCAGTCAAGTGCCTTAGGCACTACGCCACCAGAGCTCCTAAAACTGGTAGGAGTACCTATTTTTTTTTAATCTGAAAAAGTGTTGAATTTTTTTTTCATCCCCAATTGTAATTTGGGTACTCTGAATTGTTCTTAAAAGGTTACACAAACTTATAGAATGTAGGGTTGTTTAAAAGCATTCATTTAAATACAGTAAAGCTGGGGCTTACTACCTGGGGCCTCTACCACCTAACACAGGGCTCTTGTGTAAGCCTACTGTGACAGAGAGCTGTAAAGAAACAGGTTTTCTGATGTGAGGCCAAGGGAAAACCTCAAATTCAGCGTGTGCAATCTCACCCTCTGTCCTTGTGGACCGGAGCCAAGTGAGCCACAGCAGGGAAGAGAGCCCATGACTGGGAGTCAGACAACCTACAGCTCACAGGGCAGGCCTCCCACTTAGCTGGTTACTCAGGCCTCGATCCCTTCCCAACTCCAGTCTTACAAAGTCACAGCCATTGCAAACCCCATGGAACAGTAGCACTCTGCACACATGGGGTTACCAGGTGTCGGGAAACAACATGATGGCAACTGGTGAAAACAATGTATGTATTCTTGTAAATCAGAAACGTGCAGCTACACCTTTATCTCTTTACACCTGATATTATTTGCCAAACATTTTAGAAATTCTAGTTAGAAACATGAAGTGTGGTGGCACTACTGCCAACAGTTCTGCTCCCAGGCTGGAATTCAAGTACTGGGCTCAATCCTCATTCAAAGCCGGCTCCTCAGCTTCATTGTACCTATTCATTCAGTTACCAAAAAACAGACACTTAAAGCCTTTATTGTGACCCTGACAATAAACCAATATAAAGTTGAAAGAATTTTAGGGAGTATCTAGTGAACACAGAACACAGTCCCTATATCCTAGCATGCCAGGGTTACCTCAGTCATGAGCATCACCACTCACTGTCAACAGATCAGATGGGTCAAGAGTGCACAAATCTATGCCAATCACGTCCTGGGATTCATTCTAACTTTCCTTTGGCTCTTTTTGCTTTGGTTTTCTTTCTCTCCCAGTTTAAGAGACTTGCAAGGGACAGAGGGAAGGAGACAAAGGGCTTCTTTGGAGAAGTTTGAAGACAAAGAAAATGCCCTCCCCCATCCAACTTCCTTGGGGCTTGAAGAGTGAAGAAGTAGTCATGTAAATTACTGGATAATTTGATTTTCAAAACAAAGCATTTCTATGCTGCTGAATGGCAAGATTAGTAAGAAACTTACTTCTTTCCCGTTCCTTTTCATTTTTCCTCTGAATGATTTGTCTTTTTAATTTGTTCACTTCTGCTTGACAAGATTCCACAACCCGCTCACTCTTTTCTACATCTGCACACACTGCCTGAGGGAAAAAATGACAACAGGGGAAGTTAGCTTCAAATCTAAGCCCAAGTCATTGCATGAAGACAGCACTGACTACAAGCCAAGGAGAAGCCCGGGCGGCCTGGCGAGCTCAAGAGCAGAGACGTGATGGCCCGAGAGACCAACGCTGCCATCATTCATGGATTTGCCTTCTTAGGTTTTGTAAGATCATTATGCTATTTAGCTGATAAGTTCTTGAAGAATAAAGGTACAGGAGGGAAGATTTAGTCTTTTCTCCTGATTAATCATTTCTATTGAAACAAAAAGGGAATTTTATTTATAACCTATAATCATAAACCAGGTAACATGACAACTCAACAACAAAAAGACAATCCAATTGAAAAATGGGTAGAGGATGTGGACAGACATTTCTCCAAAGAAGATATACAAATATCTAACAAGGATGTGACAAAATGTTCGACATCATTAAACATTAGGGAAATGTAAGTTGAAGCCACAATGAGGTATCACTTCACACCCACTGGGATGCCTGTAATAAAAGGAAAATAACAAGTGCTGGCAAGGATGTGGAAAAACTGGAACATTGCTGGTGGGAATATACAACGGTTTCCTCACTGTGAAAAACAGTTTGATGTTCCTCAAAAAGTTAAACACAGAACTACCATATGACCCGGCAATTCTGTATCTAGATATGTACCCAAAAGAATTACAAACAAGTATTGAATAAATACATGTACACTCATGTCATAACAGCATTATTCATAGTAGCCAAATGCCCACCAATGGAAGAATGGATAAACAAACTGTGGTTCAGCCATAAATGGAATGAAGTACTGACACATGTGACAGTGTGCATGAACCCTAAAAACATCATGCTAAGTAAAAGAAGCCAGACACAGAAGGTCCCATATTGTAGGTCCCCACTGATATGACCTATCCAGACAGAGAATACAAATTGGTGGCTGCCAAGGACTGGGGGGAGGGGTAGCATACAACAATTGCTTTTGGGGTGATGAAAATGTCCTGAAACTAGACAGAGGTGGTGGCTGAACATTATTATAAAGGGGCCTAAATACTACTGGATTATTCCCTTCATTATGGTCAAATTTATGCTATATGAATTTCATCTCATGTTTAAAAAACAGATGACACAAATAGACTTATTTTACCGAAAATGTTTACAATTAAGGAAAGCTGAAAAGTTTCAAAGTCAAGATTTAATAAAAGGTAACTATCCAAGCTGCATTTGTATAACGTGCCTCATTCAGGCGCAGGCCATCTGGGGCTGCCAGGGTTTTCTGAGCAGCCTATTCAATCAGCACAGAACTGTGTCAGAGCCACTTAAGTCCTTCACATAGTGCTGCCAGTCTGAAAAGGGCATGGCCACAAAGCAGGACAACAAGCTGCTTTTCACTGTGCGTTCCTCCCATAGCAGAAATGCCGGAGACTGCCGAGAGGCAGGCCGCTCCCCGCTGAGCCTGTGTGAAGTGTCCACACGGCTAGGTGTACCATGACTGGAACTGGGAACATGAGCACTGGACACTGCCTTTGCCCCAGAGGAACACGGTCAGCCTTCCTCCTTCAGCAGCTGCCTTTACTCCCTCTGTCCCCAGAGGCCTAGCCCTCAAACCTAGGCTTCGTCGGGCCTGAGAAAGCCTCTCAGTCACACCACCTCCTTTCTTGTCCTTGGAGATAAGCTCAAAGGCTGTTTTGCTCTTAGGGTTTTTGAGTAAATTATTCCTAAGACATACACAGGGGATGACATGAACAATTAATGGGGAAAGTATGATTAGTACCAAGCTCAGTATCTGGTTTGCAGGGGCTGTCTCCATAAATATTTGCTGCATAAATGATGAGGAATGAACAGGCTCTGCTCTCCTCGGTGGGGGCAGCTGGGGGCAGAGGGAACTAGAGGGCCCAGAGGCGGGGGTAGGGCTGTCCTGAGTTGGGGGTGACTGACTCTGCTGCATCTCTGCTCTGAACACAACTGGAGAGGACTGTGTTCCTAGCAACCTGTCTTCACACTCAGAGTCCATCTTCCCAGGGAAAACCACTGTGAGCACGAGCATTTCAAGCAGGACTATTAATACCGTACTTCAGGGTCTCCACTGTAGGCAGGGAGTAAGACAGGCTTCACAGGCTGGCACGGACAACACAGATGTGATATTCTTAGGGGAAGTTATATTCTGACTTTTGAATCACAACTCATTTGTCAGAGAATTACTAAAAATTAAGACTTTAAGTAATAGTAAGATAAAAATTAGAAACTAAATCTGTTACCTGCACTTTTTCTTGAAGTGCATTGTAAACCTGATAAATCGCCCTGATGTCTTTCATGACTCCGTCCTTGTCAAAAAAATCAGTACTAAAAGACACACACAAAAAAAGACATCACAAAGTTAGTATAATGGCCGTGAACTTGAGAGATCTTTTTCCTATCATTTCTACCTTAATCTGTTATTTGAATGCTGCAGCTCGAAGGGGGCAACGTCTAAGCAGTAATGCTCCCACTACTGGGATTACAGAAGAGGGATAAAGAAGAACCCACATTACTAAGACAACAACAAAATAGTAATAAAAAGCTATGCAATTTTCAGTGACCACATTTAGCTCCTAGAACCTCAGAAATATGCCTGTTCTATCCAAACTTTTGTAGTAATTGCAAAACAAGAATTGTGGCAAATGAGAAAACAAACATTGGTAGAGCAAACAGCTTCTCAGTAGGACTAAAATTCTGACATATGGGGGAAGTGGTCTAGGGAACTACCTCACTGAACGCTACAGTTTCAGTCATATCCACCTTGACTTCCCACCACTCCATAAATCTTTTAAGCACTGTTCATAAAAGAAACAGTGTGGACAGAGGAAAAGAGGTTCTTGTTTTGCTGTGCGACTTACCCGTGTTCCTTAATAACTTTGGCATAGCTCTGAGAAGTATTTGGCACTGAAGACACTTTGTACTCCTGCTGGCTAGTGTTGCCTAGATTGGGAATAGCAAGTGATATCCTTTGATTATACCTACAGGGAAGATTTAGAAAGAGGGAGCGTTAACAGTGTTGCTCTAATCTACAGACGCATGTGGCTGAAGGAACAGAAGGTCTCGTAGAACACTCTACGGGCAGCCCTGGGATGCGTGAAGTAGCCACTTTTTCCTCCTGTCCTTAACAAAGAAACTAATCTTCATGAGGAAGGAACAACTCAGAAAAGCAGGGTGAGAAAGGCTGCACACCTCAAATCTATGCCACCAAATGGTACCCACAGAAACTGTTGAATCGGTGTATGTTTAGCTGTGTATAAGGAGCCCTGGTGGTGCAGTGGTTAAGTGCTTGGCTGCTAATTGAAAGGTCTGAGGTTCAAAGCCACCAGCCACTCTGCAGGGGAAAGATGTGGCAGATGGTTTCTGTAAAGATTATAGCCTTACAAAAGGGAATATACCCATGACCTTATATAAAGCTGGCAGATGGTATTTCTATATACATATTTGTATGTGCTGTAAGAATGTCCAAATATATAATAGCGCTAACAAGGGGCAAATACGGTTAACTTCTCGGCCATAGCCAGCCACCCTAAGAGAGCAAGTAGTTAGACCTGTGGGCTTGGGACCATGTCGCAGGGCATCTCAAGGTCAATTGGCATGCTACACAAAAACACTGTTCTACATCCTACTTTGGTAAGTACTGACTGAGGTCTTAAAAACTTGCAAGCAGCCATCTAGATGCAATGGTGGTTCTCTCCTCATCCAAAACAAAGAAGAATGAAGAAAACCAAAGATGCAAGGAAACAATTAGTCCAAGGGACTGGTACACCATGCATTCCTCAGCCTCTATGACTATGAGACCAGAAGAACTAAATGGTGCCCAGCTACCAATATCAACCACTCAGAGGGGAATCTATGTAGGAGATGCTGGATAGAGTGGGAGAATAATGTGGAACAAAAATCAAAATCATTTGAAATAAATTAAAACAGGACCAGGTTTGCTGCTGTGATAGAGCCTGGTGGAACCCCTGAGACTATGGCCTCTAGCTGCCCTTCAGGTCTGGAAATGAACCCACTCCCATGGCTTCCAGCCAAACAAGATAGGCATATGAGCTGAACATTTACGTTAGGTAGATACACTCCTTGGAGAGAACAATCATGGGAGAACAGAAGGGCTATGTATGCACAGGGAGACAGCTCAGGGGCAGAAGTGCATGGAAGGGAAGGACACAGGAAGAGGTAACTATGGGGAGGAAGTGGGAGGAGAGCTGTTGCATTGTGGGAAATTGCAGTCAATGTCATGAGGCAAAATGTGTATGAACTTCTGTATGGAAAATGAATTTGCTCTGTAAACTTTCACCCAAATCACAGTAAGAATTAAAAAAAAAAAAGATTATAGCCTCAGAGGCCTTATGAGGCAGTTGTACTCTGTCGCTGTATTTCTCAGAATCAGCTCCACAGCAGTGGTTTTGGTTGCTGTGTATATTCTCAACAACAAAATTAGTAAAATTTAAAGAAAAAAATAGTAGAAACTAGTTTGAGAGCTCTTTGAGGACAGAGGTCATGCCTTAAGCATCTTTTGCATCCCCACAACATCTGACACAACGCTTTCAACATGCTGTAAGTGCTTAAGAAATACCTGCTGCTGATGGAATGGAATCTTACATGCAGCTATTTACAATTACAAATTATTTTCACTGGTGGTGACTTACTTGAGGACAAATGGATTTCCAGAAGGAAGCCTTTGTTTGTTTACAGACAGGCACCAAGATCACACAATCAAGTTAACAATGTAAAACCCTCAGTAACCAGCAGGTGGGTCAATCTGCTAATTCTGTCTTTGAAATCTGTTTTAAAGTTGTTATGAGACTGCTACGGCAGTAAGGCTGTTTCCCCATAATGAATTATGGAGGGAGAAGCAAAGATGAGTCCTTGTGGTTTATTCCTATATGAGTGTTACGCATGCAAATGTCTTGCTAATGCTTCTTAGTTCAAAAACGATTTTAATTTACATCGAAGACATTGACAACTGGCAAGGAGAATACCATCCTAACTGCAAAGAGAACTGGTTAAAGGAGTAAAAGATTCTCTTGAAGGGTGATATAAAATGAGCCTTAAGGCATTTCTGGCTCCATCTCCATGACCTGTACCAACACTTCCTTGTTCGTGGCGGCTGGTGGGGTGTTCTTTACCTTCGATTTGGTCTGAAGAGAACATATTCTAAAGCGTGAGTGGAATTATTGGCGGTGGAAATGAAGCTTAAGAGGAGGAAGACCAGGTCCGGCACGCCCAGGATCCGCGTGAGCTGTTTGTGGATAACCTGCTCTCGGTAGGACATCTGCTGCTGCGTATTTCGTCGGAATCGGTACCACCCGATAACTTTCTGCAACAAAAGCAAAGAAGAAAACATACTAAGAGTTGCATGAAATCTGGCAAGTTAAGCTTTGACTACATCCACACAAACACCTGTAGACAAACGTTTATAGCAGCTTTTTCTGCGACAGTGAAAAGCTGAAAACCCAATGGTTCATTAAGAGGTAAACGGACAACCAAGCTGGGTCCATCCATATCAGGGAATCCTCCTCAGTAAGAAGCACTGCTGTTATATACAACACCACGGACAAATCCAAAAGGAATGATGCTGAAAGAAGCCAACACCTCCCACAAAAGTATGTGCTACAGGACCCATTACATGAAATTCTGGAAAACGAACACTCATCAATAGTGACATAAAGCAGACTGACGGGGATGGGAGGAGGAGGAAGAACTAGAAAAGGGCATGACAGAGCTTTTTCAGGTGAGAGACACATTCGTTACCTTATGACAAGAATTGCGCCACAGTGCAGAACTACGTCAAAACTTACTGAAGTCTACACTCTAAATATGTGGATTTTATTGTACATAAACTAACTCCAATTGTTTTATTTCATTTGTATCTTCTGAGATGTGGGGAATCTTACACACTTATTTTAGGTTTCAACTCACAATAAGCAAATTATTGATTTGCTATGTGCCAGAAAGATTCTGCCCATCATGCTGATCAATGAAAGATGAGGTGTCAAAGTAATTCCCAGGGGTGACAGCTATGATTCTACCTTTTAGAGCTAGCAAGTTAGTTTTGAGAAGCCAGGCCTTTGATTTTGGAAAGCACATTTCTCACAGCTGTGTTTGGGCCATGATGAAAAATTAAGGCTCTTTCCACAAGCCTCATACGTGAAACTTCAGATAGTTTTCAGAGACTGAAGTGACACAGTGACATCCCCCTCTTCTCCCTAGGCCAGACACTCCCTGACATTTTCTAGAGCCAAAGCAGTCCTCCCAACACTGGCCATGTTTGTCACCTCTGGCTGGTGTTCTCTCTGGCCTCGTGATGACACTGGGGCAGCTGTTCTGTCTACCTTTATCATTCCAGAGCAGATGGTGGATAGCTCTCTTCTCATTCGTCTTATTTGGCCTAAATACTGGGGTCTGTGGGAATTCTGTAAACACAATATAGATTTCAGAGCAGTCGTTCAGCACAGGGACATGCTGGACCCCCCACAGAAGCCTGACATCAAGAATATCAGCTTCTATCTTACACCTGACATTTTTGTAGGTTGAGATGAAGCTATAATTTTGTACCTTCCCTGGGGAAAAAAACAAACTAGAATTACAAAGCTTTTTAGTCACGTAATTATTATATATCTCTTCTGCTTTTGTGCTGGAAATTTGGATTTTGGGGGGGCGAGGAAAGGGAGTTCAAATTCTGTATAAGGTGGTTGTTGTTGTGTGCCGTCAAGTCGGACCCAAGTCATAGCGACCCCTCCTTGGGTTTCCGAGGCAGTATCACTACGGAAGTAGATTGCCCCACCTTCCTTCCGAGGAGTGGCTGCTCTGGTAGCATAGTGGCTAAGGCACTTGACTGCTAGTATAAGGTACCACAGGAAACATAATGCAATATAAGCTATAGTGACTACCCTTAATGAACGCCCTGGGAATCAAAACATGATTTCCAAGTAAATTATACTGTTAATTGCAAAGGAAAACATAATGTCTGTTTTAGCAAAAAGTCCTGTAAAAGCAAAGCTGCAGATCAACTTGTGACTTTTTTGAGAATCTTGGCTCCAGGAAAAGTCAAGTCATCCCAGATGACAATTTATGACTGGTTCACTGTGTCTCAAAACAGCAAATCCAATTTTAAAATCCCCAAAATGACTTTGGAAATGTGTCCCCTACCTTCTGTTGAAAAGACATAATATAACAGAGCCCTTTTTTGTACGCCAACTTATTTTAATTATGAAACCAAGGTCATTGTGAAAAACACAGCAACATATCGGACAGAGTCCCCTGCATCAGCAGTCCCTCCCCGCCCTTCCCTGTCCTTTCCCCAAAAGAACTGCCTTCCATTTTGGTTGGCTACCCCTCCGAACTTTTTATGTGCATCGAAACATCCACTCAGACTCCCGTTTTAAAGCATGGGCTCTTATGTAACACTGCTTCTTTCACCTAACACAGACTTTTGAATGACATCATATGAAAATCTCCCTCGTCATTTCAAATGGCTGCTTTGTATCCCACAATACGGAGGTGCTACCATCATTTAACCATTCTATAAAGAAAACAAAAATCCTCACAACTGGACCAATAATCAACATCATGATAAACAGAAAGACTGAGGTTGTGAAGGGTTTCATTTTACTCGGATCTACAATCAATGCCCATGGAAGCAGCAGTCAAGAAATCAAATAATACATTGCATTGGGCAAATCTGCTGCAAAAGACCTCTTTAAAATGTCAAAGAGCAAAGATGTCACCTTTAAGACTAGGGTGTGCCAACCCAAGCCATATTTTCAATCACCTCATTCATGTGAAAGCTGGACAATGAATAAGGAAGGCTGAAGAAGCCTTGATGCCTTTGAACTATGGTGTTGGAGAACACTGAATATACCACAGACTACAAGAAGAAC